CAAGGACGATTTCTCTTATAGCCTTTTTTCATGCTAATCATAATAAATAGAATTCAAAATGTGGGGTGTGCGATAGACTTACCTCCACGTGGTGCACCCTGGGCAACGTATACTCATACGGCAAAAAAGTCTATTAACCGGCAGTTGACTTCTCACTTCAAACCACCATGGCCCGACTATTTGTCATATTCGACCCCTTCCACAGTACTCATCTTACCTTCTTCTCTACCTTTGTGTCTGTCTGCCTCTTTTACATCTGTGAATCGCTCTTCTGTTCCCCACCCCTTGACTTTCTGCCACTTTGATGAAACTTCCCTCTGTGAAGCCCGAAGTCAGCAAAATGCCTAATGATAGCTATCATAACGCCTGCCATTTGAAATAAATAAATAAGAATTCAAAATGTCGAGTGATAGTTTTTTTGCAGCATGAAGATACGTTGTTCAGGGTGCGCCACGTGAAGTTAAGTCTATCGCTCAACCCAAAGTACAAAAATTTTATTTAGAAAGAACTTCTAGGGTCACTGGTCTGAAGAAAAACATGGATTTACTAATCGGTGCAGACTTCCGCCAACATCAATAACAATTTATGAGTCACTGTGCTGTGATCTGATAAGGCATTTAAAGTTCCTTCAGCTGTTTATATAGCCGAAGTCAAATCATTGTTCCATATCCCATGTGCCACCCCGACCTCATCGACTCGTAAAAATTTCCTTGTAAGCTTTATTTGTTAGAAGTACTATAAAAGTACATGTAATTTACCGAGTATCCTGTGGCCTGATAAATGAGTGAATAAGCAGGAATTAATTGGCTTATTTGTTAGTTCACTATTGGTAATTCGAAATCGTACGATGTAAGCATCTTCAGCCCTTTAAGGTCACTTTCGAACATATCTCTAAAAGCAAGGATCTTGTAATTCGTCTCATTCGTACCAGTTATCAGGCTGTCGAACTGTACGCTCTCTCTCTCTCTCTCTCGTCTCTTCCATCCGTTTGCTCATACAAATGCCTAGACAAGTTATCAATCAACCACTTTATACCGTTAAACGTGCTCCTCTATCACAAGTGAAGCTTATTCCTGTGAGGAGCCTACCAAATCAACCGCTGAATCACCAAGCAAATGGTGTTGTTGAAACTCAAGCTCCAGCAGGTAAGAATCTATTTCCTGCCATGTTATCTCATATTTGCCCCATTAAATTTGTAGAGCCTCCTGCGGCACAAGTAAGTGGAAAGGGTGTTTCTGTGGCCAAATTTCTCAATCACATTTTGACCAGTTGGAAGGCAGCCACTGGTGAACGTGCACAAGTCGCACAATTGGTCCAAGACCTTATTGTGAGTCGACTATGGTCATTGCTTATCTTTATTTCTTCCTCCCTCAATGATCTTGACGCATACTTTCTCCCTTCTCAGGACGATAAGGTTTCTTGTGATGTCTTCCTTGTCCAATTGTATTTCCACTTGAAAGCTTCAAGGAGACAAGATGTGGACAATTTATTCTACACTGGTCTCCATCAACTTCGAATGGACTTGATTAATGGAACTGCAGTGATTGCTAACATCAGACCTCCCAATCCTAATGTGCTTGTGGGAGCCTCAGCTATAACCACCACCACCACCACCGGCAGTACAGTATCGCAAGCTGCTCAACCTGCAACAATTCATACTCCGTCTCACTCCTCTGCTTCTCACATTCTTCCTCGACCTCCACCTCCTGTTGTGCATAATCTTCCCCCCAATTCCACTTTTCAACTCACCACTTCCTCTAAGCCCATCCGTTCTGCTCCCTTACGGCCAATCGCTCCACGTTTACATACTTCTCTTTTCTCTCCACGTGCTGCAGTCACCAATTCTCCTATTCCTAACCGACCACTCCGACGTCTCCGACCGCTCCGACCTCTC